CAAAGATTTTGAAAAATATTCGTCCTATTGAATACTTGAACAATTTACAAAGTGGCATAAGTGACACAGGTTTCCTAACAGTGAAAAGCGATAGAGCTGGATATGTTGGTTTCCTATGGGAAGTACATGATGTGAAGTATTACCATCTCCACTTATTTATTTGAAAACATTGGTACAAAGGGGCACTGAATACATATGCGCCACACAGGTCACTTCATTTGTGTGTTATTTATTTATTTGAACACATAAATATTGGTACAAGAGAGCGCCAATATATATGCGCCACACAAAACAATGGGAATTCGAAGAGAAGTAGAAAGAAAAAAAAACTAAGGAACGCAAAAGAAAGAGAGAGTAATGACGAAGAGGTACAATCAGAAGAAATCTTTCAGTTAAGGAAGATACAACCACTTTTTATGAAGAAAGTAAAAGAAGGTTACAGCAGGATCGCCACTGGCTTCTATTCTGAGCCATATCTGATAACGTCTCTAGCCACTGTGTAGCACCATCTCTCGGACCCCAACCAGGGAGTCGTGAAGGACCAACACAAGCCAGTCCTTTGCAGCTTTCTTTCATGCCACGACACCATGTCATGCACTGACCACCTCTCCGCTTCTTCCAACCAGTCCCAGAGTCGGCAAATAATGCACGACGTGGAATTCTCTGGGACGACATTCGGAGAACATGTCCAAGCCACCGAAGTCGGTGTTTCAAGATGGTGACACCAATTGAGTTATCATCTCTGTGCCCGAACACACGATGCCGAACCTCTGCATTACTGACATGGTGTTGCCACTGGATGTCAGCAATCCTTCGGAGACAGCGATGATCGAACACAGAGAGTCGTCTAACGTCCTCAACTCGGAGAGGCCAGGTTTCACAAGCATAGAGCAAAACTGCTCTCACCGACGCGTTGTAGATCCGGCCTTTTACAGCCAGACTAACATCACGAAGGCGCCAAAGGTGGCCCAGATTGGCATAAATCGTTCTGGCTTTCACTATACGTGCATTGATCTCATCACTCACACCCCCACCAACACTTATGCAGCTACCCAGATACACGAACTTCTCAACTACGTCTATCTGCTCACCACCCAGGGTGAGTACAGGATTGGAATCCTGCCAGTCTTGTAGAAGTACTTTGCACTTCGAAGATGCAAAGCACATACCATACCTACGGACACTGATTGCCAACTGATTAAGTGCGGATTGCATGCCTTGGGCATTATCGCACAGTAAGACAATATCGTCCGCATACTCAAGGTCGAGAAGTCTTTCTCCAGGCAACAGATCCACACCACCATTACTTACATTCATCAGAGCTGTTTCCAGAATGTCATCGATGGCAAAGTTGAAGAGGAATGGTGAGATTGGGCAACCCTGCCTAACCCCACTGCTCGAATGGAACAATGGAGAGAGGTGGTTGTATGCCCTCACTCTGCCTGAGGTGTTTTTATACAGGGCTTTTAGGATGTTAATAAACTTCTCAGGCACACCCTTCTTCAATAGACAATCCCAGAGAACAGTCCTATCCAACGAATCGAAGGCAGCCCTGATGTCAAGAAACACTACGATTGTTGGCCTTTGAAAAGTATGGCGGTGTTCTAACATTTGACGGAGGGTGAAGATATGATCAATACATCCTCGACCAGAACGAAACCCAACCTGCTCCCCGCGAGTCAATCATTCTCGGGTTTTGAACAACCTACGAAGTATGACTGAAGCCAATAGCTTGGACGCAATCGGAAGTAAACTTATCCCCCGATAGTTGTTACAAGAACGACGTGAACCCTTTTTAAAGATAGGGACAACTATCGACTCATTCCATGACGTTGGTACACTCTCTAGTTCCCAAACCTTTGTAAACAACGTCGTCAATTCCTTAGTCATAAAGTCACCACCATCTTTAAAAAGAGCCGGAGGTAAGTCATCTGGGCCAGGTGATTTGTAACGCTTCAAGAGTTGGAGTTCCTTGCGGACTTCCGCCTCATTTGGTGGATCAGTCGTCACCGGCCATGGAGGGCAGGACAGTCTGACCGATGTTGCCGGAGCAGCAGGCCAGTTGAACTGCTCTTCGAAAAATTCTGCCCATCGTCCAAGACGTCGATGGACGTTACTGATTGGCATCTCATCATCCTCGCACATTGTTTCACTCACACCAGACTTCTTGCTGCCAGTGGCTCGGATGAGCTGGAAGAGCTTCCGGTAGTTACCAGATGCAGCTGCTGCTTCCAGCTCATTAGCACGCATCGACCACCAGGCTTCTCGGTCCTTACGCAAGCTTTGCCCGATTTCCTTACGTAAAATCCTTCGTTTATGGTCAAACTCACGGTTACCCGGAGTAGACCGACGGGCTTCAATGAGTTGTAAGGAACCAGAAGAAACCCAGTGCTTAAAAACGGGACGTTTCGCAAACCCACAACTGACTGTTCCCGCCATTTTCATGGCGTCATGCAATTGCAACCAATGCTCATCTATACTTTTCGGTGGAGTGGTAGCTAGCCTAGAGGCTAGCTCGGTTCGATACTTATTTGCAACCAGCTTGCTAACATCAATCCGTTGATGGCGTTCACTTCGTTGGTCACTGATAAGTGAGGTAAGATTGGCGCAGACCAAGGCATGGTCAGAGTCCAGATAGGTACTCCAAAAGGAGCGGCAGTCTTGTACACAACCACGCCAGCGGTAGCTGATCGCGATGTGATCAATCTGAGTCCAGGCTTGAGATGCAGACGGAGGACGCCAGGTGGCACATCGGCGATGACTGTGCCGAAAGTTAGTGCTAGCCAGAAACAGGTTGTGGTCTGTGCAAAGTTGCAGTAGACGGTCCCCGTTATCTGACCTGCGACCAACGAGTCCCCATCGACCACCTAGACGACTCTCTTCTGTGCCTAGACGCCCGACCTGAGCATTCAAGTCTCCGGCTAGTACTACAATATCTGTCGAACGCACTTTCTGGAGAAGAACTGATAACTGGTGGTAAAACTCATCCTTGATTGCATCCGGGCTGCAATCTGTCGGGGCATAGGCGGAGATGACGAAAAGACATCGTTTCTCACGCCGATTTCTTCTCACTTTGATGGAACTTTCTAATCTAACAGCACATAACCGACTGTTATTGGGGATCCAATCGACTAGTGCTGCCTCAGCTCTAGTGCTTAGTGCGACACCAACGCCAGCAAGACCAGACGAAGATGCCACAGGGTCCCCGGATAAGCGCACGTAAAACAAGCTTTTCGAAGCGACAGATGGAGATCGAATTTGTAGTACTTCGCCAGAGTCTTGAATACGGGTCTCGGATAGACAACACACGTCGATATTAAGACTTTCCAAAGACATAGCCAGCCCTATCTGTTGTCCAACCTGCATAAATGTGCGAACGTTGAAGGCAGCCAGTTTGAATGGTGCACGTGGTTTCAGAAAGACTGCTTCAGTCCTCGTATTCGGTGGTAACATACAATTTTCAACCGGACAGTGACTCGAGAACGTTTAGATACAGTCGGAATTCCACCAAAGACGAGCCGCTGTATAAGTATAAAAGAGGGTGAATAATGTGGAAAATAATAATAATAATAATAACAATAATGACAATAATAGTAGTAATAATAATATTAGTATAAATGACAATAATTGTAGTGATCATAATTTGAATCAATTGATTGTTTTTCAAAGCGACAAAGGTAATTTCCATGGACATAGAGTTCATCGATTTGTGTGTGGGCTGTGATACTGCCCGGGTGCACAGACCGAAGCAGGTGGTTTTCCTAGGGGGTCACACTCAGAGACTTTGACCCTAAATTCTGATCCACAAGGCAGTGGAGCAACGTAGGGAGATGCAGTCCTACGGTAGCCGGTGACCAAGGATTGGTTCATACGCCATTTGTTCCCTCAGGATACCGGAACCCATGTGCACCATTGTTTTGGAATCAGAATTTTTCAACTACTCTAGGTGGATCCTCCATATCCACCAACCTGGTTAAGGCGCCTGACATTCGCTTTTCGTCCTCAATTTTGTAAACAATAGTAATGCCGCGAGAAGGCAGTGAGTAGGACCTTCCTGGCAGTAACCGTTTATGCGTGGCCACGTGAGCATTTTGAGAGGGAGAGCGGACTCTCCCCACCCTTGGTCATACCAGGGCGTTTAGGGGCTAGCCAATTCTTGAGATAATGCAACACGAGGCCGACCCGTGGACGGGGTTGAGCAAGCTCACAGCACCCGTCAGCAGGTGAAAAATACAGGTAATTTGATTGGTCTCAGTTTAGAGACCGTTGCAGAAATTACCACACATGATTTTAGCTTAGAGAGCCGAGATTGTCGTTTGTTTCATTTTCTGTAGCAGAAAAATACCTCTCCAAGCTATACTTTTAATACCTCGTTTTTATTCACCTATCCCTTCAGTTTTCATTTCGACATAAATGCCAGGATAAGAATTAACTAGTACCTTACCTAAATGCTTTTACCATCAAATACTTTTTTACAGGAGTAAACATTACTAACTTATATTTTATTAGTGTAAAGTTAACTGATGACAACTAGTAGTGGATTTAATGAAAACAATAGAATTATAAATACAGATCTTTTATATGAAAAGAAATGCATACATGTATTTAGATAGTGTAGTAAGCTGGGATAAAAACTAGCGTAAAAGACATGTGGAATTCTATACAGAGCTTTACGGTCACTACGACAAACTTATGAAGTGGATTATTTAAAGCGTCTCTGGTAGCGATTAAAACAGCTTAAGTTAAACTACTGAATTACAATAACATAAAGTTTGATTCGTAATTTTTTTTAAATATAGTATCATTTAGAAAATGAACCTTATCGGAAAACTGATATATGGATGATTTGGCCAATTAATAATAACGCCAGTCCAAGGATGAAAATGAATTTGATATTAACAAAGAAAAAATTCAAAGGAAGCAGCTTTAGGGTCAGTATATTGTATTTGTGAGGGTAGATAACAGGAATCAAGCACTTAGCCAACTGATGATGGAAGAATAAATCGTAGGAACAATAGTGTAACAAAAGCTAATATATACAATGTGAAAAGCTTCAAAAGTTAAAACGAAAGACTGTACATGCTGTGAATAACCTGACGTTAGTGCGAATTTATTGAATGCTGAACTTTGTGAAGGGTCTACAAAGAGAAAAATAAAAGACGCGATGATGGATGTCCAAAAGCTACAAAGATTAAATTCTTCACAAATATTACAGTTACCGACATTGCAATCGATGTCACCATCTTGAAACACCGACTTCGATGGCTTGGACATGTTCTCCGAATGTCGTCCCAGAGAATTCCACGTCGTGCATTATTTGCCGACTCTGGGACTGGTTGGAAGAAGCGGAGAGGTGGTCAGTGCATGACATGGTGTCGTGGCATGAAAGAAAGCTGCAAAGGACTGGCTTCTGTCGTTCCTTCACGACTCCCTGGTTGGGGTCCGATAGATGGTGCTACACAGTGGCTAGAGACGTTATTAGATATGGCTCAGAATAGAAGCCAGTGGCGATCCTGCTGTAACCTTTTACTTTCTTCATAAAGTGGTTGTGTCTCCCTTAATCGAAAGATTTCTTCTGATTATACCTTTCCGTTCCCTCATTATTACTATTATTATTACTACACTACGTTACACCCACCTCTTCGTTATTGTTCTTTTTTTCACGCTCCTTACTTTTTTCTTTCTCTTCGAATTCTCATTGTTTTGTGTGGCGCATATATACTGGCGCTCTCTTGTACCAATATTTATGTGTTCAAATAAATAAATATACCGACATTGCTGAATAAGGTATCCCCCTAAACCTACTTGGTTCGAATGTTTAGTAACATAATTAGAAGCACTATCATTAAAACGGTAAGGTTGAGTTAAAGTCCATGAAGACAAGTCGCCCTAAGTTATGGTTCATAAATTAGAATTTATGAATCAATGGTGAATAGTTTGTAGAGACTGTTGACACCGAATACTGAATAACGAATATGACACCTCACCACTTAAACTGGAACCACGAATATGCAACTATCTTTCCATATACAAGATTTCTATCTGTCCTGATCTCAATCCCACGTATTTTGTTTGGCCACGCGAAAATGACATACGATACTGCATAACTATGTACTACTACTTCAACAGTGAGAGGAAATTAATGGCCACGTCAATCAATAAACAGTCCCTGATATTTATATTTCCATTACAACAATGATTTCAAAGTACTGAATACGATATCAATAAAAAAGAAAAGATAAACATGAAGTATAGATTACACTGAAATCTTTATAAAACTTCCAGAAATTGATTTATTCCATGCATCAGTTTTCGACTGGTCAGTAACTCTTGTCAACGTTGATATTAATCTAATCATAGGATCAATTTACGATTTTTTATTTATAGGGAAATGCAGGTTTTTGGAGAAGAGTCTCTAGATGATAGAAACTAGTGATCCAAGATTATAAGTGGACTACATCAAATACGACAGACACATTCACTCGTTGTATTTTGCACAAGTAATCGTTTTTATTCAGCCGTGGATGATAAGTTAGCAGCTATCAGTTATTTTTCGACAATCTTTTTATTTGATGACCATAGATTGCAGTCAACTGTCCACAACTAGTGTCAGAAGTTATTGCAACAACACAACCAGTTATAGTTGTAAAACTATTAAAAAATGAAAACAATGTATAAAGTATAAGGTATTAGCCGAATTATGAGAACAAGTATCAATCACTTACTTTAGTGAGGCTATTGGCACACGACAACCGAATGCGACCACCGGTATAGAGTTATCTACGTGAAATTGATGTCCTTGGGAAAAAGTAAATAACAAAGATTGATAGGGTGGAAACATTGGGTTGATAAACAAGGAACAAATTTTCAAAATATGGTCTGAAGATGTATAGAATGATTTTGAGTAACCAGTAAATCAAAACAAACCTAAAAATAATCATAAAGTGTCTTTTTATAAATGTTGTTATTGTAGTAGTGGTAAGTAAACAATGTAGAAATATGTTGACTGTGATTCATATTATGCTGTTGCATTGAAGTCAGGTGATCTATTTAGGGAAAGTAAATTAATTGGTGAAAATGTGGATTGAGTTACGTTAGTCGGACTAGAGTGGGAGAATCTGAGCAGTTTAATGTAACTCAAGTATTATCGTCCTACTGAACACTGAGTGGATACATAATCTTGATTTACTTAGCAGGTGAATTATTAAGTCATATAATGTTGCAGCATAAATATGGGATTTTAAGTGAGCATAGACTCTTATTTTTATTAACTTTCTGCATACAATTTGATATGGGTAATAATCTATGACAATATCAACTGAGAATCACGCGGCTTTCATCAAGGATATCGGCCTTAACGGACCAAATGAACTGAATAATATCTGAAAATTCACAACTTAAACACGAAGATAAAATACTTAATGACCCATAAAGCAGTTTATAAATTCTATTGGATCGAAACGAGTTCTTTTTAAGCTTTAATGATGCTAAAATATGGATCGAAAAAGGAAGAATTAAAAAATGTTTCCAAAAAAATGTTCTAACCTTGCTTGAGTGCGTAGCTTAGCTGAGTCGGCATCCGACTAGCTGGTCTATACTTCAGAAGTGGATCCAAACGACCAGGTTGTCTCTTATGCTAATCAAGGGAATGGATATAAAAAAGTTTCATAAAATAAGGTTGTGAAATTGGTGGACAACGAAAGCAATCTACTTCACATACAAACAGTGCAAAAACTGAACGAATATTACAAGCAGTTTAAATTCTCCTAAACTAGTAAGTCGCTTCTTAACGGAGTTTATAGCTGGAATTTGTTGGGGATGTTAGATCCCCAGAATTCACTTGGTAAATCCCTTAATTTTGTAATTTTATTTTAGAAATTTAAATTTCTTTGTTTTCGCGCCAAAAGCGCTCTTTTTCACCTTCATGTCGTATTTCCCACTTTGGAGAATCTTCAACGCTATTGGTCCGTTGTGCATTTTTAGTATGCTATTTTTGTTACGCTTCCCAAGGAGTTTTATGCTGTATATATACGTTTGATTTGTATCTGTTATTATTCACTCGTGCTTCTGGTTTACGGAATATACTTTTCAGTTCCAAGCTTGGACTTCTTCCTCTAGTTAGCGGGGCTGGGACACATCAAATAGCTAGCTGGTCTGCGGTCACAAGTCTTTGTTCCGTTCGCATACTAAGTGAAGTCGTAATAGCTTCAAACCTACCAGGATTGAACTAGTTTTGGTTAATCTAAGCGTTGAAATAGGAATGTTAACGATGAACGGTTATCCTCAGTACGTTCTAACACTTGGACCGAGTAAATTTTGACAGAAACCATCTGTAGAATATGTAAAAATTAGACTTATACTTGTTTTCTCGTTAGAAACGAAACATTAAGGTAACCAGCGAAATACGAAAACAAAATTGGCTACCTAACTGGGTGATATGGTGGAGTCTAATAATTAGGCCCTTATCTGTTGGAGAATGAGCGACCTACAAAACTAATTCTGTCCAATAATTGAAAACATCTGGTCCCGTTATTTTTGTATGAACATGTTATCTCAATATATAAAAACCTATTCTTTTAGCTAGTAGTTGTGCCTTCGGTCTCAGCGGCTTACGTCAATAATTTATTTCATGAGCAGTCACTATCCAACTACATCGTATTAATGAACATAACCCATCGACAAAAGTTCTGTTCTTTTATTTTAAATAATCGGAAATTCGTTCGTAAATCATAAATCTATACTTCAAAAAGCTAAGCAATTACAGCACACCACTAACCAAGATTTAAAAATACAGCTGTGAAATGTAGTAAATTGATTCTCCATGTACATGTGGCAAGTAGTTAACATAGGATTAAACATGTAGTTACTAGACATGTTACACTACCGAATGGTTGAAACCCGAACTATCATATACGAAAATATTAACATACTGATAATTTAGATTTTTTACTAACTCTTGGATAACTCAGTGTAAAGCGCTCCTCCCTTACCCAACTGGCTTGATCCCTTTCTTCCAAACGTTGCTTTAGTTCTTGTTCTGCAGTACGTTGGCGAGATAAGCGTTCGTGACGAACTTCCTCAATTTCCAAACGCGAATGGCGAGCAAGGAATGCTGGGTCTGATATGTTTTCATCCAAAACGTCAACTGATTTGATAGGTTCTCCAACTTGGTAATGCTCTTTTTGTGTCTGGGAAGATCTAGACCTGGGTTTTGACTTAAGTTCTGGAGTTGGATAATTTTTATTTGAATGGACAGAGTTAATAGTCAGTAAGCTGGATCGTAAGGCGCGGAGATTACATGATTTAAGAGTATCCGTATCTGTTAGTTTTCGTCTGTCTGGGTGTTTTTTGGGACATGATTTGGAATGTTTTGTCCCACAAGAACAATCCATATAGATCTCGACACCTGGGATAGGTATAACACGCCAGCTAGGAACTAAACAAAGAAATGTAAGAAATGAGGCTTGTATGGGGAAAAATCGCAATAATAAATTATGGGGACAAAACTGAATACTTAGTCGACAAATAATTTTAGCTACAAATTATTTCTGAAACGTATATTGTCGAGCTCTTCTGTATATGAATCTTCTTTTATCACAAGATGCTGTGGAGAAGCGGTTTGCTTGGTGTGTATTGTAAAAGAACATTAGTTAAAGAATGAGGGTCATATAAATAATATACATAAAAACAGCAGTAATTTATAACGATACTGACTACAATACTTAACATTTTGGAAAGTCATAGATTAATGGCTTAGTGACAAAATCACTTGACAATAAACCAGTAGATCGCAAGTTTGGTCATCACCCCATCTATTCTAGCTTCGGCATCCCAGTAACGTGGAAAACATGCAGTTTAAAACCAAATGAACTTACAATTAACTAGAGTTACATGAGTAAAAATCTTCAGTTTTGAAAAGGTCACCATGATTATAGGAGTGGTAGAATGGACTTCTGTAACTTTTAGAAAATTTGTGTACTTCAGTCATAAAATAATAACAGGTAAGTTCCTAGCATCGGTAGTAGTGTAAAAGTTTTGTCATGACTTGCTTGATGGGTAATAATGTAAAATAACATTGAGATTGTTTTTCGTTACCATATTTCAGCAGCTTGATTAATTAACAAACAGAATACTTTTAAACCAGAAAGCTATTAATTGAAATTCTGATGTACTCTTATTTCATTAGATGAGTCTATCAAAAGCATCAAAACCTTCGATTTCCGTTTTTCTTTTAGTTCACATAAAAAATTAACAAAACCTAATGACAGCTATATATATTCCCTAACGCCGTCGTTGGAGCCTACAAACTTAGCTGGTTAGTTTCGTACTTTTGCCAATCAAATACCACTTGTACATGACTTTTTTAGCCCTCAAATTGAAGAGAAAACCTTATATGATAATACTTTTAAATAAAATTGTGGTCGGAAATTGACGAGATAACAGCAAAAATATAACTTACCTTCAATAAGAACAGCTGAATTGGACATCTTTGGTATACCTCTCGGCTCTATCACATGAACTTGGACAGTTTCTGGACTTCGGAGATGACGGTTAGTAAAATCTGGTACATAATAATATGACTGAGTAGTGAGATAGGCAGGCTTTTGATCATTACACGAAGGCTCAGTAGTTTGTGCATTAAGTTGTAAAAATTGAGTTGGTTTTCGTGTACGAGGTTTAGTGGAAATTTCGGGATCTGGTAATCCATGAATCGAAGGTTCAATGAGCTGATCAATAGATTTCCGACGCTTTGGTGGTTCCTTGTATACAATCATAACTTTATCTTTGTTTTTCAACTTCACATCACATTTGTTATCGTCCGAATTACCATATCTTTTAGATACTGAAGATACAGGAGACAATCTGCTGGTATTACGTGAGCGACTCACGTATCGAACATCCTTAAGATTCTGTCCACTAAGATGGCCAGTTATTTTATTTAAATGGAGGGAGTCCTTTGCACAAATAGAAGTAGCGGGTGTTTCCTCTTCAATCACAAAATGATTCTCATCTAATAATGAATCCGTACTACGTGTAGAAATACGTGTCTGGCACTCTGTGGGATTAGTTCTAACGACGGGAGTAACTTGGGATCGATACTGGCAAACTGGGTGCGGGGAGTTTTGGAGGCACAGATATTTCGGATGAGAAATTACTGGGGTTTCGCTAGAGTTCGGGATGCGTAAAGAATATGAAACATTTGATACAGAAAGGTTGGGGGAATTGATTGAAGTAGGAGATGGAAAGATCGGTGGATTTGATGGGGTTACCCCAGGAGATAAAGTTGAATAATTTATGCTTGAGTTCTCATAATTAGGTTTAAAGTTTACATCCACGGGATTTACGATCTTATCAGTTAATTTCGTAACACGGCGGGCTAAAAAAAGCATAGAAAATGCAATTACTATAAGAATGCTACGGTTTACATAAGATGTCAGACTATTTGATCAGGATTTGTATGGATATACTAAAATATTGCCAGATCGTAAAGTTGATGAGACTTACAATTCATAGTGTTCTGCATGAAAAATTCGAGAATCAGGTTTTATTTATCACAACTCATGAAAAGTGGGGTCGAAATTAATATTCAACATTAATCGAATCCAAAATATAACATCGTACTAATTTACTTAAAAGGATAGTTGATTTCCGATACAACATAACGTTTGAACGAGATAGAGACCGTAATTAATGATTCTAGTTTCTTAAATAGTCTATTACACCTGATAGTCCAGATACAACTTTTGTGGAGGATGAATAAACATATTGTAAGTGTCTGAACAGTTCCGCATACCCCCAATTCAGAAACTAATCGTGATGGTAAAAAAAGGCGTTTAAAATGAAATATCCTGCAAAAGAAACAGAACCAGATACTTTAGGCGTGAAGTAGTATAATAATGAAGGATTTTCATCCTAACAAACGTTACATCAAAAATTACCTCAATTAATCATATGAGGTTGTTAGACAGACATTAATTTCGTTAAGGCTTGAGCAACATATAAAATCCACGTCATCCATTTACTTATTTCAAATTACTCCCAACCATGTTTGTTTTTGTTTTATATATTTTGTACGCAACCATGTCATTTAACTAGCGGGAATCTATTCTTTGAGCAGATGTGTTGTCTTTTCGTTACATTTCACCCATAGACTAACGTCAATAATTCGATGTGGCAAGCACATAACAGTGGAACAAATTGTGTAGCTGTGTATCACTTGTTGATCAGCGTTTTAATTATCATTTTAACCCAGAACAAGTCTTCAAAACTCGTATTCAACACTCACTGACGTATTATCAAGTTTTTCTTTGTAATGAATAATTTTGGATCACATAAAGAATGAGGCAACTAAGAGACTACGCTGAAATAGTGAAAGTGGTTTATAATAGCAAATAAGACTTACAACGTTTGGCAGTTTTCAGGTCCGTGTTAGAAAGGTAAGGTGATGGTCTCTTCTGGCCCATACTGTCGTGACTACGTCGTATTTCTTCAGATTTGGTTTTACGAAACAGAAATGGCTGGGCTTTCTACTGAAATGGCTGAGGAACAGATAAAACTTACAAACTTTATAGATTGCAGAAGGGAAGTTTGTGGACTTATTTCATTTAAAGCATTTTCCATTGGATGTAGGTGGAGTCGTTTTAAAAGACCAAACATTGGCTGAACAGCTGTAACCATGTTAGGCTTATCTGAAAGACAAAGATAACACTTTTACTACTGAATCCACTCTTTTACTCTTCATCACATAATTAAAAGATAACTGAAAAAACAGTCGGTGTTGTTACCCTTCGAATATCACATTTGTTTATTTATTTTAACACATAGATATTGGTACAAGGAGGCACCAAATACATATGCGCCACACAAATCTCATTCGATATGTGTGAAGGCTGTGATACCCGGGTGCCCAAACCGAAGCAGGTGGTTTTCTTAGAGGGCCACACCCCGAGCCTTCGACCTGAAGGTCTGATCCATAAGACAGTGGAGCATCGTGAGGAGATGCAGTCCCATGGAAGCCGGTGACCAACCTTAGGTTCATATGCCATTTGAATATTCGAATATCATAACAGATTTAAGTAGTCCCGGATGTATCAAATCACAAAACTTGTCCTCGGTTTTAAATAAATGTACTATTACGACTTTGTGGATGTCAATAATTCGTCTTTAAACTAGCAATTTGAACAAATGTTTACCAGCCGTTTGAGTAAGGTTAGATCACACGTTCCATATTAAAGCCAATGGTTTGAACCAAGCATTTTTTTATAGCGCCGTATTATAGATGTGTTTATCTCCTTTACTTAAAAAAAACCCACATAACGCCGCACATCAGTTTGTAGGCCGCAAGAGACGAAATGAATAATCCTAGTGCGTTTTCAGACAGAATTTCTTTGGACTAATTTTGTCGCAGTCACAGTTATCTGTATGACCTCTAAAGATAGCTATTAAACAGACGGTGCCACTGACCATTATTCTATATTGGTACGTGTAGTGTCATTAACAGGGTGACTAGAAATTCGCTGTTGGGTTGCGTATGTATTCACTCTATACTATAATTTAGAGTGATTCTCAACGCCAAGTCATTTTCCTTACTTTGCAAGCTTATTTTTCGGACCACGTCCTTTATCTTTAGTCTTTTCGCTATCATTAATACTACTATCATTTCAACTCCTTTACCAAGAATCTCGTTAATCTTATAATGTAAGGCAAAATCAACAAGGTTCTTGGTAAATAGGTTAGGACGATAGTAGTATCAATGATAGCAAAAAGACTAAAGATAAAGGACGCGGTCCGTAAAGGAAGGATAAATTTGCAACATAAGTAATATGAATTGACGTTGGGAATCAAAGTCTAAATTATGGTAGAGTGAATATATATACAATCATGAGCCAAATGAAGGTGCAGATTTGCTGCGTTTTACGTCAAACATGAACAAGTGGATGGGATACATCGCCCTATAATTCCCACTGTAGAGAATGTATTTACTTCTACTTATTTCACGTAAAATTAGTACAATTGGGTGCCAAGAAGTAGTGTAATTCACACTAAGCTATTGGAATTTACATTTAAGATGGTGAGACCAATACAGATCAAATTAGTGATACAGCCACATCGAAATTATTTGGAGACATTTAGGGTGGTTAGGTTTGGTTAACTAGACTTCAGTGTGAACAATAAATAAATAAATAAATAAATAAATAAACCGTTTAAGAATGCATCAAGTTCATGGATGCTAATGATTGTAAAACTGTGGTACCGGCGAGACTACAATTTATGGACGAACGAATCAGACTTACGATAATAGATTTTGCATTTTGGCGCGAAATTCATTCACCCATTTGGCTAAATGGAATCCTGGTATTATAGCTGATGTCAGTTAGTGATGAAAACCTTAAATCTAATTCCTGACCCCAATCATCAACTACAAATCATAATTCTTATTCTTGAAACTGCTTTATAACCCTCACTTAGCCCTAGTAAGTAGGTAGACACTCACAAGGTCACCTGAGCGTCGCTCAAGGGTCGTTGATAAATTAGTCTCACTGTGGTACCATTTAACAATGACTGCCAATCAAACTACTGAAAAATGCAGTTGTCTCTGGTGGCACAATAAGCACCTAATATATAAGGTGACCAGTCTTTGTAGGAATAAGCGATGTTATGTTTGTATCTCATGACTAAAATGTTAGTGAACGGATTCAAAGCTAATAAATGAAGCTGTCCAGTCGCTAGTTTTTGTCTAATGTTCGGAAACATCCCCAGTTAGACTCAAGAGGTGAATAAATACACTCAGACAGACCACCGAGTGTCCGAAAAAAATGTATCTCCAAATCCAACTACTTCAGCATACATAATCCTTCAGATACCTCTAAGTATTTAGATTCGACAACAGGAACTACTGTTAGACAGATGTCTACTTGCATCTCGGTTAGTAAATAACAATATTATTGGCAAAAACTGAGACATTTATGGAAATCGAAGCACCTACTAAAGGTAACTGACTATAGATTGTCGTCCTAACTCAATTTACAGAGGACATATCACCTGTTTTACATAAATGTTCTGAATACATATATAGTTCTGCGGATACCAGAGAGAGAAAAAACAGTTAATTCACAAAATACTTAGCAAGTCCCAAAATCAAAAGGGTAATAACAGGAAACGCAATGAGCCAGGACGTTGGATGAGCTCAGTGATTTTCCTACAGTTCAGCAGGCATTTGAAGTTTTGCGACAAAACAGAAATTTAGCAGCAGAATTCAGTTTCGTAAGATAATTTCATAATAAAAGTTGTAACACGATGCGAAAACCCACCGAACAATCATACAGAGAATCACAAGAACAGATAACACACAAATCTTCGCGCCTTAAGTCACTAGGCAGTACAAATAAACACGCGATGGGCACCACCAAAATCCAATATATTCTTTACTAGCTTATGAAAATCACTTGATTCTTCTGTCTTCGCCTCTTGTTGTTTTTGTGCGCTTTTAGGTCTTTTGCAGTGTTCAGTGAGTGACAGTCTAGCCACTCGACTTTACTATTTCTACTCAGTTTGGTATCTAGTTTATTATTATTATTACTAATGGCTTGGATTTGTACATCATCTAATGATAGTGAGTGGGTTTTTCTCAGATCACTTGAGGTTTCTTGAACCAGGAAATGTCACATTACCAGACAGCAGGTTAGATGATTGCAATGTGAGAAATAATATGACGAAAACTCTAGTGCTAAAAATGAACAACCGCTTCAAGGAGTAAGTAAATAAACAGGTTAGTAAATTAGCAATGGAAACATCGTGAGCAAACCATAGTGTAGGAAGAAAAGGGGAGACGGAGTTGACAGTGAGTGAGGTAGAAATAAATTAATGACATTTGATAGCGATAGTAGTAAATAAGTTACGAGACATGCATCCAGCACAGCTAGTCAAAGTGATAGATGGTAATCTATGGGTGAGCGTGTGTCCGTCAAGTCTCTTCTTGTAGGTATGCGCTGAGGAGGCTGCGATCATTTCGGTTGTGAGAACACTCCAAATAGGAAAGACTCAAAGTGAGAAAAAATGAGAGTGTGACCGAGCTTTCTCTCCTTGATGTGCAGTTTTCCGGTGGTTGGTTTGCTAAGCATGCTCATAATGTTCTGGTGGGATGCACGTGTTGGGGCGACTTGGCATACTCATATGTTGTACATCATTATCAGATCACCACACACTCTCTTATAGCTCAGCGAGAATAATTCCAAATGTCGTAGTCTGTCTATGTAAGATTATTCTTTGACCTGTTTGGTTGTCGGTCTTTATACTTGGTTTGTGACACATGTCTCGTTCGAAGTGTGGAGACCCAATATTGTGGACTTTGGAGTAATGTTTTGGGTACGTGTTAATGTGGAGGAAACAATTCTGGGGCGAGTGTACCAAGTTGTCTTTGCATAAAGTGAAGAGATGCATCCTGAATGTAGTTTCAGATGGCGTCTAAGCTCTCTGTGAAAATAGCCCGAGATTACGTTCTGATGAGACAATAAGAAGCGAATTTCCATGAAGCACGTAGATTATTTCTGTCAAATGAGGCAGAATGTTCGTGACATAACATTTCGACTGGTTAAGCATTAACCCTTCGTCTACCGCCCATCCCTCTGCCATTATATGGTCTTTTCGGAGCTCGAGTGAATCGTTTTACTTTCTAATGGACCTCCACATCTTGCTATCACTTGAGCGTATGACAGTCAGAAAGTTAATTTTATCTAAGAGGTCATCATTTAGAACCAAGCAGAGTAGTTGTACCTAAGGTGATTCTTTGTGAGACTTCAGATGTTGAGAGACCCTACCTCACGAACACACCACACATTGGTGGGATATATCCTGTTCTAGCAGATTATCCAAGTACCCCACACTATGAGAAGAAATCAATATTCAATATTTTTATGGTGAGTTGTTCTAATTGGATTACTTCCTTGGTGCTATGGTCCCCAATAAAGTTCAACGAGGGTAATATAACGTTTGATAGCATCAGTCTTGATGAGTCAGATAGTTTCTCGATGTTTGCATATCTTTAATTTAAGTGGACCCATTTATCTCAAGTGCTAGAGTTGCAAGAACCAGTAGCCGCCACGTTACCGCGCAATCGATTGGTAGTTGTAGTGTGAAAAACTAGGAAAGTAGACTGAAGAGTACTCAAGAGAAGATGACGGTCAGAATAAGTAAATGATTTGATATGGGCAACTAGACGCATGAAAATGACAGCTAAACGAAGCTGACTATGAACAAAGTGGGTAGAATAGGTTGATGATAATCACAGTATTATTAAAATAGATTAGTAATTGTGGATAATTTGCGGGACAGCAATCAGATAGGAAAGTAGGTACTAAATGTCTTTCCACGCTCTGGGATAAAACTAGCCCCCATTACAAGAGTAAGATGACCAAGATTGAGTGTATGGACGATAGCCAAACCTTCTTTGAGGGTTATCTACCGAGGAAACCGTTGTCATATTAGCTCGAAGAACATTCGGGATAGAACCGGCCTATTGTGAGAAAGCGTTTGATCTTGCCAAAGTGTTTGCACTTTGATGTGGAACCTTCCGACAATTATCTTGTGGCGTGCGATAGTGGGTGTCAGGGGAAACTTTTGTGTCCCGGTGACCTGGGTTACCTAGTATGTGGTACACCACTATCAGATCTTTTCATTCTCCTAATTTTCAAGGCGAAGCCGTCTCTGTGACTCAAAGTGCTAGGAATTATTCTCGGGTCAGAGTTTTAAGCTATCTTCAGATATATTGTGGAGTTTTATGTACTTCGGCCACACCCGTAGTATAGTTTACGCTAATATCGTACCATGTGGAGACAACAGGAATTGGATATTCATGAAGGATACAAGTTGTTTGTGTCACATGAGGTTGGGTGTTCACAACTTGATGTTCAGTCAGGCATAAATTTAAACGATTGTCTTCCGCCCATTTCTCCAGCGACATGAAAATTCTCTAAGACTCACGTGAGTCCTCTTCAGATCCCACGAAACTTCAGAATTTCACGTCATCAGCATACATGGTAGCTGGTCAGCCTATTCAAAGAAAACTAGGAAAGGAAATGGCTCCATGTGAGATCTCCAGTTTGAATAGCCCCTGTTTATCCTTGTGTGAAACATTTGACTCTCCAAATAACTTCGGAGGCAGAAAAGAAGTGAGGCGTCAAAGCCTATCTTGACGACCTTTGTGAGACTGGTCATAAACAGGTTGGATACTTCTTATATCTCTTTCCAGATCAATAATTTTGCTGTGCTTCTAGTAGATTTGTTGCACTCAAATTTTAAACTTGCTTGTTTGTAACTTTGACACCGTACGTCTTCGGTTTCACGCTGCTGTTTTGGTATTTTAGAAATTATGCTTCTGAAACCCTAACATTGAAGGCTTGTTGTGTAGTTGTTATAATCATTATTAGAAAAATCTATCTGGTTTTTTGGGTTGAGTTTTTAATTGTATTCGTTGATTTCATTGAGTCACGTCTGAATATATTTGAATTTTTTTTGTTATAGCTGTCTGTTTGGAACGGAGATATACTATGGAAAAAAGAAGCGAAATACTATAGGATGATTCCGCATGATTTATTTGGAACAAAATGTCTGGTTGCTCGTGAACGAGTTAGAGGTTTATTCATCCGTAAACCTGTTGCATACACAGCTGATTGCTTGACCGAATTTGTGGTCAGACTACGTAATATATCTAAAACATTGGAGCTTGTGAGATATCTGGTCGATATGAATTCAATAAACAATTGGGAAACAACTGCCACACCTACCATTGTATTTACAGAACAAGTGGGCAGAAGTTGACAGCATACCATAATGGCCGTCAACGTGCCCAACTCTGAATAATTAACTACCTTCATAGAAGGGGGCCATGTTTGTTCTAACGCCGTGTGATAGGCTGGCACAACGTAGTTAGAAGACTAGTAGAACATATTATGAAGGTCAAGCTAATAGTAGAGCATGCATTAATGTGGTAAGTGGCGAGTTTTGCCAAGGTTATCATAAGGTGTAAGATTTTACAGAGTAATCAAAAGTGAACATTCTGTAGGGAGACAGAAAGTAACAAGATATGGTCTTTGTTATCTGTGTTTCTGAAAGGGTCATATAACTAGATCATATGACTCGGCCTTAAACTGTGACTTTAACAACTGCAAGTTTCAACCCATTTGATGCCACAAATTGGTAATAATTATAACCATGTAGTGAGTTTAGCAAGGGATTTGAACTCCTCAAAGATTTATTTGGGCATTATTCTAGTCAAGATATTTGGCACCAAAAGATGTTTCGAAACTCATTCCCCTTTAGATAGCGGTTCTGACACCTCCCTCGTTTGTGAAGAAATAACTAATCAGTTGGGTCTCGAAGGCAAATAAGCCTTGAGAAATACAACAGATGTAAATGACACTTCTTGAGAGTGTTTGGGAGTAAATTTAGAGGTATTTTCTTTGGGTGATAGTGGATCTACACAGATCAGTAGAGGTTATACGACAAAGTGACTACCGGCCGACAGTGTAAGACCCCTAATCAAACAACTGTCGAGACACTGGAAGCATCTAAAGCATACAACTTTTCCGGGGTTGTGAAACAATCGACAATGGATCTTCAATGGATGTGACGTTCCAGATGCACACTAATTTTGGGAACAACGTTTGGTTTCAGTAAGCAACTCAGTTGGAGGATTATTGGTCCTTGAAGAACAAATAAATCAGTACAGCAAGTTGAGCGGGAGAGTTGTTTTCTAAACCAATCAGAAGTGGCTTAATGAAAAGGTTAGTCGATAGCAACCAGAAGTGACACAAAGAACAAACACATCTCATATGCTAAGAAATGGATCAACTTCATAGGATTAGAATGGTGTATATACGGATGAGTATTTGTACGTTTTATTCGGTAGTCTAGTACACTTTCTTGCTCATATAACGGTTGGAGGTTAGCGTGTAACACACCGTGTTTCAGTATCACATTTGGACATGGCCCGTCACAACATATGTGACATTGTAGAACTATGGTCTACTATGATATTAGTACTGCTCTAATAATAGACCTAATCCTGAAATTGTAGATTTGTCATGATATAACTGCCTAATCTATAAGATCTTACGTGGAAGTCACACCATCGACTACACCAACTCACCGTATCGTAACAACTACCAATACATAATGAAGAACGAGCTTAGGCTAGAGAAAGAACAATATATTTAATATGAATAGAGACCACGCCTGCATGGCCGAGCCATGCCACTCAATCAACTCCAGTCCATTCAATTCATTCTCCGCGCCTTCTCCATTGTTAGGTATTTCCCCGAGTTAAATATTGAATATCTATTTTCTGAGTAGTCTCGTGTTCACAGCTTTGTAGATTGTGTGGCTATTG